TCATCTTTGTCAGTTTCCCCTTCTAGAGTACGCAGATCTTCTTTTTTTAGATCGCTTGGTGACTTACCAAGCAATTCTTGCAGCTTTGAAGCTGTAGCACTGGAAGTCAATTGAGTTGAGTGTACACCTGCGAAAACTGGCCTACGAAAGCTTTTACTCAACCGTTCGACATGCGGGTAAACTTCGTTTATGGCATGTAATAGTCGATCGTATGTATTAAACTTAACGCATTCATCCAACAATTCATCGAGCAAGGCCTCATTGAGGTAAGGGACTGGTGCGAAAGTGGGCGTTGGTGGCCCAGAGGCAGTACGGGCTGCTGGTCCCCCTTCTACAGGTATGCCCGTTTGAGCTGTCTGCAAATTGCTGTTATCCACTGCCATTTCCGCTGCTTCTGCTGCGTTGCACAGAATTTCCAATTGGCACATGTCAGCAGCTGCTGCTGAACGGTCCCTAGTGTTTTCCAAGCTTCTGTTTGAATTAGGGCGACTATGTGATATTAATGAAGATGAGGAAGTGGCAGCTACATCGGCATCTCCACCGCCGCCGCCACCCGTACCACCACCACCGCCTGCGCTATTTGGGCCAGAACTGCTTATATTGCTGTGCTGACTGGCATGACTGTGCACACTACCACTGGCACTGCCAGAAGTTATGGTGCTATTACCGCTGCTGCTGCTAGTGCTAGTAGAGCTACTTGTGCTGCTCGTGCTACTATCATTAGGCGAGGGCATGTCGGAGTCTTGTATGCTTGGTGTCGTGGCCGCTGAACTCGCTGAATGTGAACTAAAACAAAGGATACAAAGAAAAATGTGAAAAGCTATAATAATAATAATAAAAAAAAACGCAAAGTGACACATTTGACTTTTTCATTTACCTCGACGGTGAGTCATTCTGGGTGCGCGGCACCTTCGGTGGTTGACTATAGTCGCATAGTTTTGCATCCTGTGAGAAAAGTTGAATAGCGCGTGCGGCTATTTCGTTGGGGTTCATTGGCGCAACCTGGCCACTGGATGCACAATTCTCGTTCGAGCATTTCGGATTACCACAACCACGCTGTAGTTGATAAAAATAACGCTCTATTAGTTCCTTAACGGCGGATCGTTTCATATCTGGGTTGGTGGTGCGTGTCGATTGCAGCGACTGCAATGGTTGTTGCTGCTGCTCGTACGTTTGCTGATTATTGCTGGCTGAATGTGTAGATGCGTTATTACTAGCAGATGGCGAATCTTCATTAATGCTAGACAAACCCAAAAATGTTAGGCGTATAAGCAATTAATGCATATATAATATGCAATAGTACCTCGAGGTCTCTTCGCCAATGGCTTTTTGCTTATCTTCCTCCGCGTTCATGAAGTGGCGTTATAATTCCAGTGCTTCGTTTTTACACCAATTGGCTGCCGTTTTAACGTCTTAATTTTATACACCTGTGTTATAACTTAGGCCACTAAGTAATTTTCACGCTTACTTTTCTGGTTCAGCTTCCCTGCCGAAGGCGTGTTCACCTAAAAAAAAATAAAAAATTTGGTTGAATACACTATCGTCTTCACTTGTTCCGCGCTCCTTATTTGAGGAACTGTCAATGCAAAAAAAATCGATTGCTCCTGTCGTCTTCGTGGGTTTTATCAAACTTGTTTTGAGTAACTTTCGGACTTGCACACTTCCGCACACTGCATAGTATATATTTAACTTGTTACTGAATAAATTCAAAGCTCCAAGCAATTTTTTCACAGCAATAAACCTACTTTTTTGCTAATTTAACAGTTGTGGAAGAAAAATAGCTGAAGAAATCGCCTTCTTGTTGCTACCACAAACTGCCAAAAAAATTCTAAAATCATTCCGACAGGGTTACCATGTATGTAAAATGACAAGTACATTTTTTGGGGTGGTGAAATAAAGCTTTATATTGAAATTCGCCCAAAACAATTTCATCCGAACCAGTTCTGCGGAAATTTAATCATAAGGCATAATAAGGTTGTTAAGGTAGCCGCGGGCCGGTTGGAGTACAACTCCACAACAAGCTTTTCAGGCATTCAGTGCTTTTCAGGCTTTCAGCAATAGCTGAATTGTGCAGCTGAAAGCCTGAAAACGTCATACGCCTGCAAAGCTTGTTGTGGAGTTGTACTCTTACAGCTCTATTCTGCACGATATCGAAAATTTTGTGACCGGAAAATTGTATTACCAAAAAATGTTACCACTTCTTGTCACCGCGATTCTAGGTACGTTGGTAATGCAGTGAAAATATTCAGCATCTCAGCTTTCGCGTTTCCTCTTTCACATTTTGTTGTCCCCTCTCTTTCTTTCCGTATTCTGCATCCAACTTCAACACGTAACGCCCTGTCAAAAATGCAAATTCCATTTGCTCAGCGCCGCGTTATTGTAAGATACTTCACACAAATTGTACGGGCATGAGAACTTTTTACAGTTGTGTGGCGCTTGATGCTCCAAATTAGGAAAGGCAGTTAGAAGTGGTGAATGCGCTAGATGTCAACCTGTTATAAACTGAAAGTGGTGAATTTCAAATTTGTCTCTTGGTCCCAGAAAATGCAATCATGCAAAGTACAGCTGATTTTGACATTTAAAAGTAAAAAAAAAAAACAAATGTCAACGTGTGTCTGCTCGATTTCTGTAGCCATATTTCTAAAGATAAATAAAGGAGAAAAATTATTTTCATTTTATGTGTCCAAAAATTTTAAGCGCACTTTAGTTAATAAAATGTAAAACACGGCTCTGCCTACGTGAGTAACGTGAAAAAATAGATCAAAAGGCGATAGTGAACTGAAAAAATGACTTCGGAGAAGGTCGCTGAAGATATTGGTAATTGCGTGCGTCAAAACATCCCGTGGGCGGCCGTACCGATACACCTGAAGCAGGTGCTGCACAATAATCAACGTGACTACGAAAAATATGTTTTCAACTACAGTCTAAAGAACCAATTCCGTTTCCGAGGTAATCTGACCTCCAAGGTGTTCCGCCATGAGCAGCGCTACTATGAACTACTTGTCCAGAAAAGCATCAACGGTCTGCTTCTATTCCCCTATCATCTAGCTGATATTATTACAAAAGGATTGCGGGTAACGCCATTTAACTATTATCTTGATTTATTGAGTCAACTGCTACGCAATGATAAGTCATATGATACACTACCAAATTTCACGGCCGCCGACTGTCTGCGTGTCTTGGGCATCGGGCGTAATGAATATCTATCGCTGATAAGCGATTTAAAAACGCATACAACGCGTGCGCTACTCTTTAGTGCCAAACCCAATCCCTTGGATTTCTTGCCTCGTTTTCCGGTGCGTATACGCGTTGAACCGTGGTGGCGCATTGAGGTAGGCTATGTATTGGAAGCTGACATAAGATTTGTTACAACAGCAGAGCGTAGTCTAATCGATGATCTCATTGATTTCGGCTCCCAAACTGCCGGCAAATGTGATTATAGTGTCGTACATAGTCTTTATCGCAAAGGTCTAATCTACTTGGATATACCCATATCAGGCGAAGATCGCATCAGCATACCGCCACTGCGCAACTTTGTCATGAATCGTACCAGTGGTGACTACTTTGAAAATCTGCTTTATAAAATTTTTGTCAGTGCCGATGAGCACATGACAATTTCGGAATTGGCTCAAATGTTGCAAGTCGATCTAGATTCCGTAAAGCAGGCAGTATCACTTTTTTGTCGATTGGGTTTTGCGAGGCGCAAAGATTCCGTCTGCGATAGCCCAAGTGCTGAGTTGAAGTACCACGCCAGTTGGGAGCAATATCAGTTGGAACAATCAATGGCACGTGAGCCACCACAAATCACACCACTCAATTATAATAACTTCATTACATCAGAAGCAACAGCTGAACGCGCTGAGGCAGCACAGTATAGTCCAACTTTAGTACAACAGCAGGAAAAGCAACAGGATAAGGATAGCAGCTCCATTGGCTACCTTTCATCCGATGGCAACACCAGTGATTTCAGTTTTGCCAATATGCCATCACCATCACCGCAAGCAATGCAGAGTGTTGGAGGCGAACATAGTTACTCCGAGGAGCAAGAGCTCAGTTCTGAATTGGACGATTTAAGCGAGAGTACTACAAAATTAAGTATCAAAGAAGTATCCGCAACGCCAAAAGAAGGCAAATTCCCTGCTTTGGTAGAAAAAACCGGAAAACGAGTTGGATTTCTCTTTGATTCAACTCTAACCGCTTTTCTGATGATGGGTAATCTATCACCTGGTCTTAAAAATCACGCTGTAACTATGTTTGAGGTGGGAAAACTGTCTGAGGAAAGTATGGACTCATTTCTAACGGAGCTGGAAAAAGTCTCGCTGCTAGATGCCGAGGGTGAAGGAGACGTTTCGCGTTACTTCGCGCATGCTGTCATTTTACGATCGACTATCTGTTCGCTGCGCCATTTGCTACCAGGTGGCTTGGATCTACTGCGACTTGAGTGTCTGGAATGCTTGGATCAAAAGACACGCGATCGCGTGCTTGAAAAGAAATACAAGTTTATAATATCTGCAACGCCTCTCACTGCCACACTATCGCATATCTTTAGCATTCCTTTTTTCGGGCAATTCTATCGAAGCTCCGAAAGCTCGCATATGTGGTCGAAACTTTTCTACAATCATATAACAGGCAAGTAAATTTTTTCATATTGACTTATCTTTCTCATTACAATTCATTACTTATAGGTTATGGGCCACCTAGTCTCTTCCTTTGTCGCGGCACAGTACTTAAAACACTTCCACGCATCTTTCTTGGCTACGGAAAGTTGCTTGTGAATATACTACATTCCGATTCGTATGTTTTGAACTCCGAAAATTTCCGCAATCTCAACGATCAGTTGAAGAATGGTTGCATTCTGGTGCAAGGCTATGGCATCCGCCAACCTGGACTTTTACGCTATGAATCATTCCCATTCAATGGAAATGATTCGCATCAGCTGCAGTGGGCCAATCACAATGCCGTGCAACAATTGGCAAAACTTTTAGATCTAGAGCACAATTGTGGTTTTATAACATTCCTGAACACCGGTGTGCCCGACATAGGGTGCGAATCTTTTGAACTGCAAGTGCATCTAAGACACCCTAAAAGTAAAGCAAAGTCACCAGTTGAAACAAAAACTGTAACAGTAGAATCCAATCGTAGCAAGGAAATTGTGCCAAATGTGATTGCCAACGCAACTGCGCCTATAAAATTGTCCACACTGACACAACCGCAAGATTTATTATCGCCCGCTGATGGCTCTGAAGTTACCAGCTTTGCACTTCTGAGTGCTTCGCCGATTAATGCAAGTCAGTTAAAGAGTCCCGATGAGAATTACTTTGCGGTTAGTCCACAAAATGGTTCACCCTCAAATATATTTACTTCGGATGACTGTAACGAATTGCTAGCATCTGAATTGGCGAAATGCGATGCTGATTCGGCAGCACAAAATGCAAGCCAAAATGAGTTGGTATCCCAGAGTTCAGTGGAAATACCAATTAGTTTCGCAGCAAATAACGGCGATTCCAAAACTATTTTGGATAGCCCAGATACTTCGAGTGAAGAGACCAACACCGAGGAGTGGACACTATTGGATGTGAATTTCGGTGTGCCACTCTTCGATGTCGATTGTAATACGCGTATATGTGAGCAAATTGTACGCAAGCTACATAGAGATGAGAATATACAGATTCTGCCCGCTAAAGCTATGAAAATGAATGAGGCTTTCATGAATTTTGTAAAACAGTGTATGTATTTCGAGGATGAACCGAATATCGAGCAGTTGAAGATTGGCAAAGTCTTGCCATATCCGCGCATCAATTTGGCATTCGAAAATGGGCGCGTTTGCTACTGGAGTGGCAGATAAACACTTGTAACTTGCGATATGTGTAGATACAACATTGGTGGGTCCATATGAGTGAGCAAGTAAAACCGCAGAAAATATATGAAAACTTTAAAGTATTCTTGTGTAAAACAGCCTTGAGCTGAATGTAATATTTCAATGCGTAATGCAATATTTTTTAGTTTTTTTCTTGCTTTACTTATTTAAGGTATTGTTAAGCGGTTGAAAAATCATTCCGTTCTTTTGAATTGTTAGTAGGTATACGCGTGTAAATCTGTTTTCCTTATCTAATCTGCGTTGACAGATTAAAAAGTTTTATTTTCTTCATATCGATGGTCCTGTGCAATAACGACACAATTCAAAAAATAAAAACTGTTATTACTGTTAAGTGGCTCATGTCTCTAATCCATGTCTTATCTTTTGTACTTACTTTAGCAGTCCTTACTGCTTACTTTAGTAAGGGATGGAAATGGATTGGACATGGACTAAAGACAAGAGCCAGTTAACAGTAGTACCAGCTTTTGTTTTTTGAATGTTGAATTGCGTCGTTATTGCACAGGACCATCGATATACATACATATGCACGTATGTACGTATACATATGTATATATTTTGTTTTTGTTTATGTTGTAATTGGCTAAAAATCAAAAATGCTGAACATATTAATATGAGTGAAAGGAGCGAAAATAAGTAAAATATGTAAAATTATCTTTTTATGATTTTAAATTGCAAAAACATAACTTATATATCGTTGGCTTAAGATTTTAACACAGTAAGATAGCACAACTCAAAATACATCATTATAAAAAAGTTAGCGTAATTTCGTTCTTACTTGTTGTTGTGCAGTGGTATGCAAATGTGCTAAGTCCAAAAAAAAATAAAAAAAAAAATATATAAACGATAATAAGAGCATATATTAAGATATCTCAACGAAATTTGGTAGGAACCTTTATACAAGGTAGAATGGAATTAAAATGAGCGAAATCGGACTGTTACCATGCCCACTTCCCATATAAAGATATTTTCGAAAAATGCAAGAACTACGATATTTCAGTAAATATTGGATGCAAATTGTTGAAAACTAGTATTTGATGTAGAATTTTGCTAAAAAATATTATGAAATTTTTGGACATTGCATTTCGATAAAATGCTGTATCTCAGTAGCCCAATCACCAGTCCTTACCAAAGTCTTTGGAATCGAGCGCTGACTACGCGCATCGACCATATAACGGTAATTTACTGAAACACGAAAACTGCGATAAATCAGTAACTACTAAAGCTAATTCACTTAAAATCGATGATTGCGATAACCACTTAGCAAACAATCAGATTATTATAAATTTTTGGATAATGGGCGTGGCGCCGCCCACTTTTGACCACAGATGTGTAACTCGGTAACCGATTTGTGAATTTCTACCAAACTCGGTGCGCTTAATAACATTGGTACGAAAAAGCAATGCGTTAAAAATTATTCAAATCGGACCAAAATTACACCCGCTTCCCATATATCTAACAGTAAATTTCTGAAATACTATAACTGAGGAAGCTAATTTACACCAAGTTAGTACTTACAGCAATCTCTTAAAAAATAATAATAAGACTGCTATAGACTTTTAGAAATTGGGCGTGGAACCGCCCACTTTATGACTATAAAGGTGTATTTCAGTAACCACTTTATCGATTTCTACCAAAATTGGTTCAATTATATCATTGAGTCTAACTCAGCTTATTAACGAAAACGTTTCAATTGGGAAAAACTCCACTGCTTATCATGCAAAGTTAGTTTAGAGAGAGTTGAAACGACAATATTTGATACCTGCGCTGCGGCTCGCCGGGTATATATATAAAGTTCGGTTTCGCCAAACGTATACTCTTTACTTGTTTTTAATTATTTTCCTTTATAAATGGTACACAAATTTACGACCTATAATAGTTATTTTTGTTAACAGCAATGAAATAAGATAGGTTATTATTCATTTTAAAACAATAAAATATATTTAAAATAAACAACTAAATCTTTTAACAATAAAAAATATGTAATGAAAAACAGTTTGATAGAAAATGTGCTAAGTCCACATTGAAAGAACAAAATGATAAAGAGAAAATGTGGTAAGACCCAAAAGAGCCTATAAGTCTGAAACAGCTTTATTTTCAAATTGGCCGATTGTAGGTACTGAAACAAGACGACTAAGAAAGAAAACTGCATTTACAGATTAGGAAAATATTAGCAACAAAAAAAGTTAGACGGTGAAAAATTATAAAATATGGACTTAGCACGTTTGCGAACTAAGCCAACGGTATGTAACTAAGAACTTAATATAAATTTTATCATACAATGTATTGCTTATTTATACATGCATACATACATACCAGCACTTCTGAATAAAAATAAATAGTGTCTATTATTTTAAAATACAAAATTTTATAGTTGTTGTTTTTGTTCATGTAGCATATAGCATAGACCCGAATATCGAGTGTTGGCTTTCAGCCTAAGTATGTAGTACTATTTTTGAAGCAACGCTTTACTAGCCGCCATCGATTCGCCAACAGTTAGCAAGTGGCGAAACGAACGAATTCAATGAAGTACAACCAAACTCGCTATCGTCTATCCGTGCTAGCTAACTTTGTTGTTGATTTCACATGCAACATTTTTCGTTTAGCGACCGGAACTCAAACATAGCAAGCAGTTAAGTGGCGATGACGGCTAAAATGTAGTAAAGAACGGAAATGTATTAAGGAGTGAAATGAAATGCGGTCGAAAGTCGCAGAAATGTGTGGTTATACAGATGCCGGTATGGTTGCCGTGCAGGATGTGAAATAAAACTTATATTAGCCGTCATCGATTCGCCACTTAGCTGCTTGCTATGTTTGAGTTCCGGTCGCTTAACGAAAAATGTTGCATGTGAAAGCAACAACAAAGTTAGCTAGCACGGATAGACGATAGCGAACTTGGTTGTACCTCATTGTATTCGTTCGTTTCGCCACTCGCTAACTGTTGGCGAATCGATGACGGCTGTTATAGCTTTTAAAATAATAATGCTAAAATTGGTTCATCAAATTTCGCGTTTTTATAATAGTAATAGAAAGAAAGCGTTTGATATGGCAAAAAAATAAAAATAAATAATAAATGAGTGGTGGCAACCAGTGCGTACACCTTGATTCGGGCATTGGTAACGAATCGGAATTTTTTTTGTTTATGAATAAATATTAAAACAGTTGCGTTTATCAATATTACTTCAATTTTTTAATTTATTTTTATAAATCGCTATATTTTCTTTAGTTGTGAATTTAATGTTATAACCTTTAACGAAAAAACGCTTATTTTCAATTGTTCTCGTGAATACCTCCAATTAAATTTTCTAAACACAATTGCAACTCTGCAAAACAATCAACAGTTTCCGCCGCCATTCGAACAGCTGCGCGTCGGTTTCCTTTGCCTGAGTTAAAATTAGTGAAATATGTAAAAAAATGTTTATAAAATATGGTTTAAAATGCAGTGATTAGTATAATATGATATATAAGTGAGTGTTTTCGAGCTAAAATGAGCAAAATAAGTGCAAATGTCTTGAGTTTAAAAGCAAATATCACAAATGTTGTAGTGAAGTTGTATGTAGGAGGGCGGCGCAGCCAGCGAAAGAAAATTAGAAAGGAAGCCAATTAATTGAAGGAAATGGAATGAACCAATGTAGCAAGATTAACAATTTGATATCATAGCTAGCCGTGGTAAGCGTCTTTTAGCACAACATTTAGTTAATATTATAAATTTTTTTAGTTGGCAAGAGTTATTGCAAAAAAGCGCTGCGTTAGCAACAGGTTGCTGGCAGCGCTGCTTTGCTTTTGCTTCTCAAAACGGATACACACATATTTTGTTTCCCTTTGATGTTCACCCCCAACGGGACTGAATGTGAGCTGCTCCCCAAATGAGCAAGTACCCTGCAAACCAAAGTTCCCGAAATCTTAACGAAATCTTTAGGAGTTTCTTATTTATGTAGCAATTTTTTTACGAATCTTCAAAGAAAATTATATGAAGTAGTTGACACAAGCTCGTGAAGAACTTTCTGTACGAAAAATAAAGAAAATTCATATAGCAGAATTATTTTGATTTCTTTACCGATTTCATTCCGAAATTTCGTAAAAGAGTCGAAGTGTGCACGATTTACTTCATTTTAGAAAATTCGGCAAAAAATCAGATGAGATCTTTACGAATTCTGTAAAATTTTTCTATACTTCAGAATACTCTGGAAAAATGGTTTGCACGGTAGGGAGCAGTACAAAAGCAAAGTTAAAAAATAATTTTTTATATTTCTAACAATACTCAGAAATAAATATTTTGAGTAGTTACATAAAATATTTTCTTTCGAAAAAAAAAGATGAGTTATGTATGCACAAACATGTAGGTACATTAGGGTGGTCTAAAAATGCATGTGAAAAGTAAAGTCGGAATGTTTATGCTCTCACCCCCTAGAATTGTTCTATACCGAAAAAAATGTATCCCTATTTTTCGTTTTGAAATCAAAAAATACTTAGAGGAGGCTCAAAGCGTCTACAGTTTTCCATGTATTTTATATGGAGAAAAAACCACTTTTCGTAGAAACGGTATATAATTCTTAAAAATTAATAGTTTTCTATCGAAAACCCCTGTTTATCTACAGGAGCTTCCCAAAAATAAGACCCAAGTGTTTATTTAACCATTTTTTCATAGCAACTATAATTTATAGGTCCGCCAAATACTCATAAAAACCCCGAAAAATGCAATGGGCGGACCAATAAAAAAATCGTTAGTATTAAATATGGTTAAATAACCAACTGGGTATTATTATTTAAAGTCTCTTGAAGAGAACCAGAGTTTTCCGATCGAAAATTATTCATTTTCAAGAATTCTATACCATTTCTACGAAAAGTTGTTTTTTCCCATATAAAAATAGTTTTTGGTTTCAAAATAAACTATACCTTTTTCGGTATAGAACACTCCTAGGGGGTGAGAGCATTACAATTCCGACTTTACTGTTTTTGGACCACTCTAATGTACGTACATATATCGTCGTTTAAAGTGCAAAACCGCGTATCAGCAAAATGCAAAACCGCGTATCAGCAAAAATGCAAAACCGTGTAATTGAACTTGTAGAAACTATTTTCTAGAGCGTAAAACACTCATATTTCAAAATGGTTCTCTTTTTATAAAGCAATCGCTATTCTGGCTAGTATATTTCAGGACGAATGGATAAGGATTGAGCAGAGAGCTTGTGTGAGCAAATCCAATTTTTGGCAGCCAATGTCAGTTACGCGGTTTTGCAGAATTACGATACGCGGTTTTGTACTTTAAACGACGATATGTACATATATACAATATGATTCTCGGAAACGGCTCTAAAGGTTTTGATAAAATTTTGTACACAGATAATGTTTTGGATTCTAAGGTTATCTGAATAGGCACCATCTCCGAGAAGACTCGTATAAGATTGCCACCTATTCGAAATTAGTTACAATTAATTAAAACATCATAATATGGGTATCAAATAGAAGGCATTTTAAAGATCCCTAATTCAGTAGCTGCCACCTATTTTAAATTACATATTTATTTAATTCTTTGTTTAGACAATAGGTAAAATTGTACTATTCATGGGTGCCAAGAGAAGGTTCTTAAACAATACTTTCCCTATATGGGTGTTTCCATCGGAAGGTC